TCATCTATCACCCAGACCTTTGGATCATTATTGTTGACCTTGATCACAAAAGGAAACAAAGCAGGGTGGGAAGGTGACAAGCATGCATTAAATACCTGCTAAGTGCCAGGCACCATGCTAAGAGCTTCCCAAACATTATCTCATTTGATCCTTTGAAAGGTGAGAGTAGGCAGCCAGTAATTAGATATTCAGAAACTACCCTTTCTGCTTGCCTGAGCAAATACAGGTAGCTGGCCACGTTCATCTTGCAAGTTCCATTTTCTGCCCGGGGTAGGGAGGAGGGAGAAATCCTCTAACCTTTCTACCACCACCACCTCTTGCTTCACTGTGAACTGGAAATTCAGAGGAGCAAAAATATAGGAAAAGAAAAAGGGGAAAGGGACCAAGCCTCATTATGTAAAGTTCACTCTTACAATCTATGAGGGAGGGGTAGGTCTTTTCATGAGAATCCAACCTCCCTGATTTTCAGTGTCCAATCATCCGGGAGGCAGCCCCAGTCACTGGGGACCAATCAGAAGAACTCTTCATGTTCTCTTAACTGAGGAGCCGGGGGTATATCTACCTCCATGGGAGGCACCTTTGCTGAGGTAATTCACCAAATTGTTCTGGGCCTTCTCCAATCATCACAGCAGGACACATTCTATGACTGTACACTAGGACTATACAAATTAGCCATCATCTGAATTCTCTTGGGCAATTATTAGAAGAAAAAAACAGATCCAAACATCAAAACTATCTACCATTTTCAAAGCCTGAATCATAGAGCAAGGAATGCTCATGGGAGGCAGAGTGGTAGAGTGAAAAGATGTCCTGCACATGGTAGATGCTTCATAAAAAATGCTTATTATTTAGGTTCACACACTTGCGGAAACTTTGGTGATTCACTTGCCTTCTGTGAACTTCTAATTCCATCTACAAACTGTAAAGTGCCATCGAATTGGGAGTTTTTATTACTACCCAAGGAGGAAATGCTGCTGCAGCCCAGAGAAAAATGGGAGTCTTTGAACACTGCGGTATGTGATAGGCCCTGTTCATAAAATTCCTGTTGCTCATTGTTCCCATTAAGCTGGGTCAACATGTGCCTGTAAATTCCTCCCCAAAGAGAAATCAGAACAGCATCATCGGCACCAGAATATGACAAACAACTCAACTACGGAGAGGAGGCTGCCAAACATTCAGCAGTGCTCGGATTGCACCAGAAGGGGGGGAATCAGATAAGAAAAATAAACTCAGTTTTGTGCCTAGTTCTCTAAATATGTATCCTGCCTGGCGGTTACTGTCCGCTTTCACTGTAATGAATATTTGCATTTGGTAGGGGTCAGGGAGCTATGGTCCCGTGGTGCCTTGTAGAATGTGTTAGTCACTCTCCCCTCTGCTTTCTTCTCCTCCTCCTCCTTCTTCCCCTCCGGCCAAGAGCATGGCTTGGTCCAGAACGTTCAGGACACAGCACCATCAACCCTCTTTGTAAATCCTGACCTTCCTGCTGAATAACTGCTGTGTGACCTTGGCCGACTTGCTGGCCTCTCTGGGCTCTGCCGTCTCCATTCAGGATAATAGCCTTAGAATACATGTTTGCAAAGTGGTTTGTCCCCTGAAGAGCTGGTGCAAAACACTTTGGAGAGGGAGATAATTGTTTCGTTTTTCTGAAATATGAACCTGTACATGTGCCAGCCCCGTAATAGAGTCTGCCAGTTCTGTAAGAACCAATCCACCAATCAATCGAGGAGCATTTATTAAGTACCTACTGTATGCTAGGCACTGTGCTAGCTGCTGAAGATATAAAGACAAAAATAAAACAGTCCCTTTCCTGAGAAAACTTATATTCTATCTATGGAAGTAAGTGTTTGTATAAATGTATACAAACTACATAGAAAGTAAAATACAAGGTAATAGTGGGCAGGAAAGACTGGCGGAGGGGAGCAAATAAGAAAAGGCTTCCTCTAGGAGGTGGCATTTGAGCTTGGCTTTGAATAAGGCTAGGGAGTCTAAGAGGCAGAGATGAGATGGGAGTACATGGAGGAGGGGGAGAGAAGCAAAGGCTCAGAGACTAGCCTACCTATGTGCAGAGAGATTAATACCCAGAGAGTTGGCTATCAGAAAATGAATTATTGTGGTTCTAGCAATTTAGGAAAGCATGCCCCCAAGCCTGAAAGGATTTGCAACATACATCATAGAATTATAGCTTTAGTAATGGAAGGGACCTCGACTGGGGAGGAGGAGGATCATCTAGTCCAACTACTTTATTTTTTAGATTGAGGAAACAATGTCAAAGAAGTAGTGACTTGCCCAAGGTAACAAAGATAATACAAAGCAGAGCTAGAAATTGAACCCAGGCTATCTGAACTGACTCAAAATCCAATGTGTGTCAAAAACCATGGCAAAAAAAAAAAGGGCAACAAAAAGCATATTAAAATGCAATTGGGAAATGTTTAATTTAAGATAGATGAAAAATATAGTACAACATAGATAATGTTCATTTGTGCTTTTCTAAGTCAATATGCCGTCTGGAGGGATTGTTTCTACTCTATTTGAGTCTGACACCACTGTGACTATACTATACTCCACACTGATGAAATCTCAGAACTTGAACTACGAGGGAAGTTATTTTACAAGTGGGAAGGTTGCCTCCAATACAATCCATTGGCAAACAATATGATAAAGAGATTCCTATCCAGTTACTGCCTAGACGAGTCAACCAATGACAATGAAGAGGATGATGATGATGATGATGATTGATGATGATGGTAGCATTTATATAGAGTTTTAAGACTTGCAACGCACTTTATAATTACTATCTCATTTGATGCTCACAATAACCCTGGGAGGTAGGAATCATTATTACATATATAATATATAGGTATCATGTTATATATCTATATATTATATATACATATTTACAGATGAGGAAACTGAGGCATATGAAGAAGCTGAAGCATACTGGGTAAATGACTTGCCCAGAGTCACAGAGGCAGTAAATATCTGGGTTTGGATTGGAACTCAAGTCTTCCTGGCTCTAGGACCAAGACCCAACAAACGGTCATGCAGCTTTTCTTTGAATGCCTTCACTCATGAGAAGCTTGCTTTTTTTAGGGAGCTATTACAGACAAGATGTAACCCTATGTCACTCTATGATGGTCATCCATCACTTGAGTATCTACTATGACTTTATGCCTGCTTGTTGAATTCATATTCATGTTCAGTGCAATTGACTAAAGTGTGTCGTAAAATTGGCAGTGGTGTGGTCTCCAGATGAACAAATCTCTGACTTTCCCCATGACCAACTAGGAGCCAACAATGAATTGTACAGTATAAATGTGAGTACTTTGCCCCTAGTCATTTGCTCTCACATAGCCCCAATTCCCTCAAGCATAGCACTTCAACACCAAGGGGGCTCTTGGTCAATAGCTGCATCATTCTCTCCCCACCTCCCCCAACACCACTATCCTGAAGTGAGCTCATGCTGATAAATCCTTTTAAATAAAGTTCGTGGTGTTTTTATCATTTAGGAGTCTCTGCTGTCTGTCTGTCTGACCCTCTAACCTCCCACTGAACTCCTGGACACAATGGTGTAGAGGTCATTAGATGGCTCCCAGGGAGGGATGCTCCTCCTCTCTCTGCCCTACTCTTTTGCGCAGCCTCAGCCTTTTGGATTATTCTCATATTAAGAAGTTTTTCTTTATATTCAGCCAAATTCTGTCTCTCTCCACCTTCCATCTATTGTTTCCATCTCCGCCCTCTGGGACAAAGAAGAACAAGTCTAATCCCTCTTTCACAGGGCAGTTCTTCAAATATTTGATGACAGCTAACATGTCCCCCTAAGCATTCTCTTACGTCAAACATTGCCAGTTCCTTCCATCAGTCTTCACATGGTGTATTCTTTAGTCTTCTCATCACCCAGGTCATCATCCCCTGGGTACATTTCAGCTTTTCAATGTCCTCCCTGAAACATTACACCCTGAACTGAATGCGTCACCCCAGATATGGCCTGACCAGGGGAAGAGAACATGGCTAACCTAGCTCAATGTCTCTAGTCTAGAGGAAGAATAACCAGATCCAATGGACTCCTTGTACCAAATGGGTCAGCAGCCGTTTGTTTGGAGATCACTGGGCTAGAAGGGAAAGAGGAGCCACAAAACCTGAACAGACCCAACGATGTTCAACCACATGAAGTTGGCCAGTGGGGCTTTATTTTAGGCTAACGCCAGGACCCATGCCAACCTTCCAATGCCACCAGTGGAATGCCTGCAAAAGCCACAACATAAATAGTGACAGAGCTGGAAAAGAATTTGGCATGAAACCAAGACTGCTTCAGATCCCATGGCCCATGGGCTTGACAAGCATATTATGTTTGTCAAGAGAGAGGTAGGAGACGTCTAACTCCGAAGTAATGGAAGTTGAAATCATGGAATCGTAGAATGAGGGGCATCAGAATCATAAAACACAGGATGTCAGAACTGGGAGAAACCTACCTTAGGATCAAAGAAAGTGGAATGTCAGAACTGGAGAGGCTTTAGATCATAGGACAGAATATCAGAGCTGGGAGGGGTCTTAAATCATAGGACATAGACTAGTAAAGCTGAAAAAGAATTAAAATCAAAAGACTACAGAATATTAGAGAAGTATACAGTGGAATAGCTGGAATTAAAATCAAAGAATGATTTTTTTTTCAGTGAAGAGAGGGAGGTAGAAGAGAAAGTAGATTTTTATTATTTGGAAAAAATAAAATTAAATCTTAAAAAGTGATAGAAATGCAAAAAAAGGAGAGAAGCATCAATATAACATAAAAATACATGAAAAACAAAAAGTTCAGAAGGTGCCACAGAAAGATTTTGTTACTACCCTGTTAAATTTAATTTCTATGTTTTAAAAAGAAACTGCACATAACATTTTCATGGTTTTATACAGAAATCATAGAGTAATAAAATTCTAGAGCTGGAATGAGCTTTGGAATCACAGAACATAGACTATCTGTAAAAAAAAAAAAATGACTTAGCTCAATCCCCTCATTGCAGAGGTAAGGGAAAAGGAGGCTCACAACTAACATTCTTGAAGCATTCCTCCAAAACCAAAGAGTCCCTAGAAATGTGCCAATGAGCCACCTCAATCAAGATTTTTTTCTGGTCCCTCTCAGATGTCAGGAACAATGTGTACTGCTTCACTTTAAAGGGGAACAGCATTCTGAAATCCTAATCTTGCTGGGGAAGTTTTCTGAAGTGTTGCTGCTCAGCCTAGAAGGTTGACATGGTCACTGACTTCTCAGAGAGGCAGGTACTAGTAACCTCTCTATCCACCCAGGCCACCGTGTTCTGTTGAGCGGCTGAATCAACGTGTCCATGACCCGAGGAATTCTCCAATTCCCTAAGACAAAAAGATGTAGAGTGAGAAGAATTCAGTCAATCAATGATAAGGTCATTGTGACTCTTGGTGCTGTTCCACTCTGCATATTTCTTCACCCTCGTGTTAGCTTTTCTTACCCGTATCGTTTATTTCTAACTATTCCCCTAAGCTTCTAATAGGAAAATCTGGTTTTTTTTAAGATAAAATGCAAACTCCTTAGGCCAATCTTCCAGGCCCTGCACAATTGGGTAAGAACATGGTTTTTCAGGTTCACTTCTCCTCATTCACGCGATATCCTAGCCAAACTGTTCCCAGTTGTGGCCTTGTCCTCACCCCACCCTATGCATAAAATGCCCACATGTACCTAGAATGCATCACCTACTCTTTTCTGCCAATTGAAATACTTCTCTTTTTCCAAGACAACCTCCTCTGTGAAGCCATCTCTGATCACACCCAGCTCTTGATGGCTGACTGATTCTTCTCCCTCTCTCTATCAGATTGTCTTAGAGAGCTTTGGTTTTTCCTATTCTTCAATTCTACCTTATAGCCTACTGATTCTTGTCTTATCCTATCTAGTAAATTACAAGCTATTTTAGGGCAGGGGCTGCATATGGTTCCATCTTTGGTCAGCCAGTACGTAGCATAGTACTCCGTAAATAGTAGTGTTTAGTAAATGTTTGCTGAATTAAATTAATTGACAACAGCCTACATTTAAGTCAACTTTAGCATTATATAAGCGCTATTTTCCTTCTTCAATGAATAGGCATTTATTAAATTTACTATGAGCTAGGTACTGTGTTATGTGCCAGGATCCAAAAAAAGGCAAAAAAAAAAATCTTGCCCTCAAGAAGCTTACATTCTGAGGGGAAAGACAACATGGACATATGTAACACATGATATTTACAAGATGAAAAAAAAGGTAGCTTTGGAAGGGAGAGCACTAATAAATGGGGGAATCAAAAAAGTCTTTATGTAGAATGTAGCCCCTGAGCTGAGCCTTAAAGGAAACCAGGCAACCCAAAAAGCAGAGGTGAGAAGGGAAGGCATGCCAAGAGTGAAGGACAGTCAGTGCAAAGGCAAAGAGATGGAGTGTGGGGGTAGAGGGGGGAGGTAAATGGGCCAGTGTGATGGATGGTTAGAATGCAAAGAGAGGAGTAATGTGTAAGAAAACTAAAAAGACAGGAACGAACTTTTGAAGAAATTTAAATGTGAAAAGAGGGGCTTTATATTTTATCCTAGAGACAATGGAAGCAACTAAAATTGATTGAGCAGAGAGGGATGATATGATCAAATCTATACTTTAAGAAAAATCACTGGCAGGTATATGGAGGAAAGATTTTTGTTGTTTAGCCATTTTTTTAGTCATGTCTGACTCTTTGTGACCGGGGTTTTCTTGGCAAAGATACTGGAGGGGTTTGCCATTTCCTTCTCCAGCTCATTTTACAGAAAAGGAAACTGAGGCAAACAGCGTTAAGTGACTTGCCCAGGGTCACACAACTAGCAAGTATCTAAGGCTGAATTTGAACTCAGGAAAATGAGTCTCCTTGACTCCAGGCCCAGCACTCTATCCACTGTGGTGCGTAGCTGCCCCATATCTTCCTGGAGATCCTCCATAGTCATGGCAAATATGGCTGCATGTGAAAAAGGGAAAAATTAAATACTTACCTTTAAAACTGTCTCCACACTGAAATATGTGAAGGAAGGAAAAAAGGAAAAACTAATTAAATACTTCTCTTTAAAACTGTCTCCATGCTGAAGTATTAAGGAGGGAAAAAAATCACCAAAGGTCATCCTAAGAGTACATAGCGATGTCAACGTGTGGTCCATCTAGTGATCCAGCAACCATTCATCTTCAAGACTGGATTTATAACAAAGGTCATTCTAAGTTTATTTAATAAAAAACAAATTGTGTAACAACATATCCCATGAGGATCATTCTTGCCATATAATTGGTAAGAAATGGCGAGACTCTAACCTCAGATTTGCATTTTCAGGTCAAACTCTCCAAGTTACTAAGCAGGTGCTCTACAGAGTCTCCCGGCATCCCCTCCCAAAGCTGACTACACAATCTCTACATTTCAATGCTGTCGGAGATGTTGATGTAACTGCTTGGTAAGGCCAGCCCAGAACAGAACTGACTTTGATGATACCCAGCATCTCATGTTCCATCATGAAGATTGACCCCAAAGTGACTTCAACATTGGTTACAGTGAGTCAGCTTGAAACCACTGAATCTGGTTTCAGAGTCTGCCTTCCAATGAATTAATGATAGGATAGGATAGGATTTTTTTTCAAAAAATTCCCCAGTTTCACCAAGCCTACAAAAGTCATCTTCCATCGTTTGCAAAGACACTCTATCTCTTCCATATTTTGTGTATCAAAATCTGATGTGATAAAAATTTCAATGATTCAGTAAAGAAAGAGCACGCTTTCTTCTTTTCTTAAAGTTCTTTTATGAAAGTTACTTGTTAACATCTGTCTACAAGTAATGAAACTTTGGATCACAGTTCCTCGTCATCTGAACTTGGGTCACAAAGGGGTGCTTAAGGTTTTTTTGTTCATTTGTTTTGTTTGTCGTTACATCATGACAACCCCAAAAATGCACCTCTTAAGGTGTGGAGGAACTGCAATCTATTTAGTGGAGGAAGAGTCTGCATCAGGGGTGAGGAATCTACGGTCTTGAGGCCACATGTGGCCTTCTAGGTCCTCGGGCACAGCCTTCTGACTGAATCCAAGTATTACAGAACAAATTTGTTCTGTGAAGGTTGGATTCAGTCAAAGGGCTGCACTTGAGGACCTAGATGGCCATATGTGGCCTCAAGGCCGCAGATTCCTCACCTCTGGTCTACATCAATGAATTCAGAGTTCTTTTGATGTATTTAAGCAGCCACAGTTCACATTTCCTTAACCCTTGACTTTTTACAAAGCACTTCATAGAGGCCTGCCCAAAGTAGGTACTTAAATAGATGCTTGCTTCCTTCCCCCATATAATTCACTACGTCATTCGATAAAGGAGATCACATAAATTCTGATTTTCAAAGAAGAGGCACTCTTTATATCCCAAATGTGATAACATTTAGTCAATCAGCAAACATTTATTAACAGAAATTATTACCATTTATTTATTTATTAGCATTTATTTACTATGTTCCAGGCATTAGGTTAAATGTCAGGAGATATAAAGGGAAAAATGATCCCTGGCCTCAAGGAGCTCACATTGTAATGAGGGAGACAATATGTAAATAACTAGTTACAGTCTAAATATGTACCAAGTAGATGGAAGGGGATCTCATAGAGGAAGGAACTAGTGGTTTGGGGTCGGGGTTAGGGGATGGAAAATAGAAAAAGATTTCTGGAGAATTTAGGATTTTAGCTTAGACCTGAAGGAAGCTAAGGAGGCAAGGTGACAGAATTAAAGCATTCCAAATCTGGGGACAGTATATTCAAGATGGAGCATCATGTATGAGGCTAGTCCATGAAGAACAGACCTACAGATAGTTTCTTTTCTAAGTCCTTCCAACTTCATAGACAGAGATTGCATTGCATTAACAAAGTCCTAGAGAACTGGGACTCACCAGCACATTGAGGACATTGTGAAGAAAACAGCATCAGAGAGAGAAATGTTGGCTTTTCCACAAAAAGGACTCTGTGGATTGCAAGGAAGACAACTTCCCCACCACACCCATTTGAGGGCTGGATAAGCTAAGGCACAAAAACAAAGGATGATTTTTCTTTAGTTAAGCATGAGGCAGAAACTCAAGACATGGCAGTACAGTCCTATGCACTAATCATTAGTTTTCCTTCATTTAAGAAAAATAGCTGAAAAGCCATTGCTAGAACCCTGGGGCTTAAGAGAATCTAGATTTCACCCACCTTAACAAATGACCGGTTTGTGTCTATCATTTGGTTCAAATTAAGAAACAGCTTCACATATCGATAAGAACACTGCTACATACCAGGAAAAACAGATTCTAATATCAATCAATTGACATTTAGTAAGCACCTACTGTGTGCCAGGCACTGTGCTGAAGTAGGAACTTAATAGATGTTTGTTCCCTTCTCCCTTAATATCTGTTACCTCGTTTGATAAATGAAAATCACATGGACTCTATTTTGCAAGGAAGAAGAGATACAATTTATGTATCAAGAGTAATGAAGCTAGTCATCACTAGGGATACAAAAAAGAGGCAAAAAACCAGCCCCTGCCCTCAAGGAGCTTACATGCTATATCTGATAGAGTCCTGGACCTGAAGTCAGGAAGACCTAAGTTCAAATCCAGCTTCAGGCACTTATACACCTGGGCAAGTCCTTTACCCTCTCTCAGCCTGTTTCCTCATGTGTAAAATATATATAATGATAGCACCTGCTGCCCAGGGATATTGAGAGGGCTAAATGAGATAATATTTGTAAAGCAATTGTAAATCTTAAAGTATTGCATAAATGCTACCTGTTACTACCATTAATTATGCTTAAACATCTACACTCTCTGGGCCCTTGTAACAACAATTGAAAAATGAAGAGTTTGGGTTGGGTTTGTTGGTACCTGTCTATAATTCCAGCTACCAGGGAGACTGAGGCTAGTGCGTCTCTTGAGCTCAGCGGTTTGAGATGCAGGAGGGCTATGTAGATCAGGTGTTTGCACTAAGGTCAGCTTCAGTCTGGTAAGTTAGGAATAGGAAGCAACAAGGTTGCTTAAGGCTCAAAGCCCCTGTATTTACAGCCTGGGCTAGATGAGTGTGGTCTAGTCTTTAAAATAAATAAATGAAAGAATGAATGGATAGATAGATAGATAGATAGATAGATAGATAGATAGATAGATAGATAGATAGATAGATAGATAGATAGATAGATAGATAGATAGATAGATAGATAGATAGATAGATAGATAGATGAATGAATAAATAAATAAATGGATGAATGAATGAATGAATGAATGGATAAATAGATAAATAAATAAGCAAATGAATAAATAAATAAATGAATGAATGAATGAATCAATGAATCAATGAATCAATGAATAAATAAATAAATAAATAAATGAATGAATGAATAAATGAATGAATGAATGAATGAATGAATAAATAAATAAATAAATAAGTGGAGGTGGATGGGGAGACAGACAGATGGATAGATACGTAGATGAATGGATGGATAGGCAGGATAGATAGATAGATAGATAGATAGATAGATAGATAGATAGATAGATAGATAGATAGATAGATAGATATAGATGGATAGATGGATAGATGGATAGATGGATAGATGGATGGATGGATGGATGGATGGATGGATGGATGGATGGATGGATGGATGGATAGATGATAGATAGATAAAAGGGTTGAGACAGATGATTCCTAATATCCCTTCTAGCTTAAGCAGCAGAATCATGGAATCTAAGTTTTGGAAGGAGACAGTACCTGGGGGGGGGGGGATCAGCTCTACAGCATCTCATGATAAGTTGTTTTCCAGCCTCAACAGGAGACCTTCACTAACAGAAAGTCACTACATCCAAAGGAAGCTTATTTTTTTGATATCTAATTATTAGGAAGGCCTCTTCTTCTGTTCACCCTAAATCTCTTTCTACAGCTCCTGATTCTTCTCTCTTTGATCAAACAAAACAAATCTAATTCTACTTCCCTATGATAACCCTTCAAACCTGAAGAAAGTAATCACATCCCTGCATATTTTCTCTTCTAAACCTCCTCAGTGTCTGACTGATCTTTGTGCACCGAGATTGATGGTTTATCGATGTTCTTACTGAAACAAGGGGCCCAGAATTTAATGCAATACTTCAAATGTATTCTGATCACCACCAGGGCATAGGAGAAGGTAACTATAACCTTCCTTGCCTTGGGGCAGCATACTTCTAGAATGCAGCCGGAGACTGCATTTGCTTGGGAGCTCTCATTTCATATTGAGTTTGCAGTCAACTAAATGAAGGTCAAATGAGACAGCGTTTTGCTTTGCAAACTTTAAAGCGCTATATAAATGCTAGTTATTATCATTAGCAATAATAGTTTTTACCTCTTCCATGAAGAGTTTCCAGACCCCTAAAAGTGAAAGTAAACTTTATATCTCTAAATTTCTCCTAAAACTTTTCTTAGACTTTTCCCCTTCTTTTGTCTCATACTCCCAGTATTTTAGTTACTGGTATTCCTTCCCCACCCTCCACCTCCATACATAGAATCTGTGCATTGGAAAGAGTATTAGATTTCAAATAAGAACTGTGTCCTAATCCCAGCTCTGCATCTTCCTCATAAGGGTGCAACCAAGTGTTAGTGGGTATGCTAGGACACCCTGGAGGAGCCTTCCCATTGCTCTTCCTCTTTCCCCGCAGTACAGCATTACAGCAGGGGAGTGTCAAGGTCAGAGAATTTTTTTAGGTTGGGCATAAAGTTTATAGAAAGTTGCACCTGGTGTCAGGAAGTCCTAAACTCAGATCCTGTGCTGTGTAAACCAGGACGGGTTACTTAACCTGATTCAGCCTGGGTTTCTTCAAATGTAAAATAGGAATGACAGCACCCACTTACCAGCATTGTTGTGAGGTTCAAATGAAATAAAATATGAAAACATTTTGTGAACCTTAAAGCACTATATAAATATCAGCTATTATTGTTATTAAAATCAGCTCTATAGCTATTACAGATATTATACAGATATTAGAATGTTTGCTCAAAATTTTTACTGATGAGGTAAATGATAAAAAAAAAAGTTTGGAGACCACTGGACTATATGGTCACTAAGCTCCCTCCAAACTCTAAAATTCCATTAATATTTGGTGAATATTGAACCCTTAAAAATTTAACTCAAGTGCATGGTCTGACATGCAGCCCTAGATTTAGAAAGGGAAAATTTCAAATGGTTAAGAAAAGGAGAAATAGGAGACGATGGCTAAAATTCTTCAGGGGAAGTCAGACCTAGGAGGAAGGGAAGCTATCAAGAAAGAAATAATAAAGATGAATTAGCCCCAAAGAAGAGAACTAAGTGTATGCCTTCCTCTCTTCTCTGCAGAGGTGTAGACTGATGGGTGCAGGACATTACATATAATGCCATGCTTGTTTGATGTCTGATTAGTTTTACTGAATTTTTTCCTATTTTTTTATTCTGTTTTAAAGGATAACTTTCTGGAAGGAAGTAATAAGAAGGATATGTTGGTGTATAAAGGTTATATGAAAACAAAAGATAATAAAAAGTTAAAGATAGAATTTCATTTTTTGTGGTCCTGTTCATTGCTTAATGTCTCTTATGCTTCCATCTTTCTTCCTAAAGAAGGTATTTCTGATACATAAGTGTAGATAGGTAACAGTAGTTCTGGAAAGAGATGAGGAGGTTTAGTAGACTATGTGATGTGGCAGCTCAAAAAACCAGTGGGACTTTGGTCTGCATTTGGTCATGGGTTTTTTGGTTTGGTTTTTTTTGTTTTGTTTTGTTTTTGGCTAGGCAATGGGGTTAAGTGACTTGCCCAGGGTCATACAGATAGTAAGTTATATGTGTCTGAGGCTGGATTTTGAACTCAGGTCCTCCTGAATCCAGGGCTGGTTCTCTATCCACTGTACCACCTAGCTGCCCCTGGTCATGGTTTCGTGGAATAAGTAGGTGACAATGTCACTGTACTCTGCCCTTGTCAGACCACAGCTAGAGTACTGTGTTCAGTGTTGGGCACAACAGTTTAAAAAGGACATTGATATTCTCAGAAGGGGAGTCTATAAGGAACTGGAGATACTTAGCTTGGAGAAGAGAAGACTCTAGGAGGTCATGATAGCTATCTTTGAATATCTGAAAGGCTGTCATATGGAGGAGGAATTAGACTTGTTATTTAACACTTAGCTCTCAGTGTTTCTGTGAGGATAAAATGAGATAATATTTATAAAGTGCTTTACAAACCTTAAAATGCTAGCTATTATTATTATCATTATTATTGTTATTATTATTGATGTTCTATTTGGGCCCTGAGGACAGACCAAGGACAATGGGTAGAAGAGGCAAGAAGGCAAATTTAGGCTTGAGTTCAGAAAAAACTACTTATTAACGCTGCAGAAAATTGAAATGGGCTACCTCAAAAAGAGCTTTAGTTGACCCTCCCTGGAGATCTTCAAGAAGGGGCTAGACAATTACTTGCTTTGGGTTTTTGTTAGGTTTTTTTTTTTTTTGGTGAGGCAATTGGGGTTAAGTGACTTGCCCAGGGTCACACGGCTAGTAAGTGTTATGTGTCTGAGGCCACATTTGAACTCAGGTCCTCCTGACTCCAGGGCCAGTGCTCTATCCACTGCACCACCTAGCAGTCCCTAGACAATTACTTGTTGAATATGTTATGTTAGAGATTTTGTCAGTAATTCATTCAAAAAAATATTTATTAAGCATGTATTATGTGCCAAGCTAATTCATCTATTCTTCCAATTGCATTGTTCTCTTCTTGATCCAACCAGAATGATGTCCCCAATTTATAAAGGGATTCAGCCCTAGACATGGGGCATTTACACATTATGCTAAGCAGTGAGAATACAAAGAAAGATAAAAAACAGTCCCTCAAGGAGCTTATATTCAAATGGGGGAGAAAACATGTAAACACCTATGTACATAAAATATAGACAGAAAAGCCACAAGGTTATCTCATAGGAGAACTAGAGATGCTAGAAGCTGGGGGAACCAGGAAAAGCTTCCTGTAAATGGGGCTTTTAAGCTAACA